ACTAAGTGATTAACACACACACACATACATACACACACACCCATATGCATGTGCACACACAAACACATGTATATTTGTTTGCTTGTTTTTTTTTTTTTTTTAGCCCAGGCTGGCCTCGAACTCATACACATACATTTGAAATTTATTTATTGTCTTGCATGTCTAATAATAGTCTAATACATTACAGAAGAATGTATGCTGCTTATGTAGCAAAGACTGTGTACATGTTCACTAAATCTACCTTTCTTTTTTGTCATATGCCTTAAAGAGACTATAGGCCCAGATTCTCTTCTAAACTGGTATACTTAGATTTCAGCCCCCATGGGCTCTCTTCTCTACTGTTTTTCCAATCCACTGATTTGATGTCCCGCATAGTCTAAAGATGGTAGGACTCTGTGTCCTTGAACAAACTCCTTTTTCCTAATGCTTTTCAATTTTTAAAATTGACACATTAGAGTTACACATTTTATCAGATACAGTGTGATAATTTGATACATGTATATAATGTATAAGAACCAAATCAGGGTGATTAGCTTTCTATCTTCTTAAATATTTAATTATTCAAATAACCACTTTAAATAAAGCTATTATCAATCATAAGTATCTGTTTGGGTGGATAAAGAAAGAAATTTCTGTTACATTTAGGCCATAAAAGTTCTGGGTATGTTTCCCACAAAAACTAGCCTAACACAAGGCTCATGTAAAAAGGCATATCAGTAACAGTTTTCAGAGCTAAAATTTGAATATAGGTCTTTTAAGCCTAAATTCCTACCACTATGCTAATCTTGCTGAGAATTTAAAAAACTATTTATGTATTTTAGCCAGTTTTTTTGGTCACTGTAACAAAACTGTGAAATAATCAACTTATAAAGATAAAATATTTTGGCTCATAGGTTTGCAAGCCCATGTTTGCTCCATCTCACTGCTTTTGGGCCTGTACTTAGATGGAGCATCATGGCAGGGGATGCATACTTCACGGCCACTCACTTCATAGCTGGGAATCAAAAAAAGGAAGATACAGAGCAGGAAGTTAAGTTCCACTATCCTCTTTAAAGTGCATGTCCCCAACAACTGAATGACCTCTCTCTAAACCCAATGTCTTAAAATTTTTACCTCTTAATACCTCCATGATTGAGAACTAAACCTTTAACACATGGGCCTGTGGGAGGACATTTGAGATTCAAACTATAGGATTATGTTAAAATGACAAAGGACTATGTTAAAATGATTTTTTTAACCTGTAAATTTTAAATTCAAATTCCATAAAATTTGAGTTCATCAGAAACAAAGGTTTTCTGTGTAACTACCTATTGATGCCTGTACTGTAGAACCAGATCTTCCATTCCAATTAGCTGGTATATTCTTCCTATCCATCAATGAAGCACAAAAGACAACAGCAAGTTAGGATTTCTCAAATGTGCCTTAGGAAATCCTTTCTGAAGGACATTCACAGGTTTGATTCCCTAATAAAATGTTCCATGGTCAAGCACATTTGGGAAATTTTAGATCAAATGAAGTAAAAGTGTATTTTCTTTAGGAATTTCCTTTAATATTTTCCCAAACTCTTCAAAATTAGTGATAAAGTTTATAGCATATTTCCAACTTATTTGATTACACAGCTCCCTTCCCAAAGAGTATCTCAAGGAACTAGTGTTCCACAGAACATGTAGTATATCGGGTCATACCAGCAGACAGCTGGTACTTGAAGTTGGGTCTAGTGCATATTGGAACTTAGTTCCTCTACCTAATGGAAATGCTGGCTCCAGTTGTGGATTTTTGCACAGACTGCCTATTATTGATAGCTGACAAATGGTTACACCTTGGATTTATCTAGTCTTGACTACTTTGTCTTCTGTCTTTCAGACAAATCAATACACTGTTACGTTGTGGTCACAACCCTGCTAGCCTTCTTCCACTTTTTTGCTCCCATAACTGACAGAACAGGAATAATCTGTAGTAAAATGTATTTCACAATATTAATTCTTGACTCTGTGAACACCTCAAATATAGGGCAGGTGTAGAGTAATGTTGGTAAAATAAACACCTTTTACTGGCCTTGTTAGCTATTTAAGTTAGTAAAATACAGTGAAGGCACATCATATGAACATTTATATTATATGCAGTTAATTTGACATATTTAGTACTCCAACCCCAGATAGTGAGAAAAACTGTTTAAATGAAGGCAGATAGATTTTTTTTATTAGGAATGTCCCAATTGGAGACTTCACATAATTTAAAATTTACCTAAAAGAAGATTAATTTTCCATACAATTGACAAAAGGCAGCAGGTATTCCTTTCCAGCCAAAGTGGAGTGAAGATGGATGAAGAAAAATTTGCAAACTGCATGATCGTTGATAGAAATGTGAGAAATTTTATTACAAATATTGTCAAACATGAGAGTTTCTTAATATTCTTATGTTTCATTCTTTCAAATCTGTACAATTTTATGAATTGTTTCTGTATTGTAGTGTGGATGCTTTCACATGCCATCCTCACATGCATCCTTCACATGCTCAGAGATTTAGTCTGTTGGAAATATGACTGGTATTTGTTTCATTCCTGTGTGCCTTTTATAGCAGAAAATATCCCTCTCATTTAAGTGCAAACCAATGATTTAATATAGCCTTACCCAAAGAAACCAACGATGCAATGTTGCAAAAAATGGCTTACTGAATTTATTGAAAGTAGCTTTGTCACTCTCCATGTCATGCAGTTTGAAGGGACATCTAAGATAATTCTTCTCTTTATATGCCAACTTCAGAACTTTACCTCCTTCAAAAAAGATGATTCTACTTGAAGTTAATGGCCAGTCTAGCTTCACTACTTTCTATCAAATCCTGTTTCAGTGGTGGGAAGCCAATAGCATACATCATTATTATTATTTTGGTATGGGGGATCAAACTCATGACCTTGTGTTTGCCAGGCAGGTGCTTATGCCATTGTGCTAAATCCCTGGCTAATTATTATTTTTTTAAGACAAAAGATGTTAGTGTATGAGTTGTTTTTTATAAACTAGTAAAACTTCAGTATTCAGATTTAGTTGCAAAGTGTTGGTCCTCTGTGATAAATAAGTGGGTTTTGGGTTGTAAATTTGCATATTTGTTTCTAAAAGGTTTGTCATCACTGCCCTACTTTATTTAGGTAGTGACCCTTCAGACAGTTAACAGGCAAATGACCCTAATACCAGTTCTAGGAGTAAATCTTGATTAGTCCAGGCTTATTACGATATTTCCCCCAAATCTTCCCTATAACCAATGATCTGTTTTGTACTGGTTGAGTATCCAAATTCTGGTCTATGACATGTCTTTTAAGAAAATTTAGGAAGGATTTCCTCAGTTCATAAGAAGGATAGAGGTAGTGACAGTCCCTCCTAACCCCAAACATGATTTTAGGACAAAATACTAGAGACTGGGGACCTCAAACAATGAAAATTTCTCACAGGTTTGGAACCTGGTAGTCTAAGATTAAAATGCTGATTGACAGGATTCCTGGTGAGGGTTCTTTCCTGGTGTGACGATGGCTGCATGCTTGCTGTTTCCACATGACTATTCTTCGGTCTGTAAGAGCTGGGATAGGGAGAGCACCTGCCTTTTTTTTTGTACTCTTTTCATAAGGTCATCAATCTTACTGAGTTAAAACTCTACTCTTATGACCCTGTATAGTCTAAATTACCTCATAAAACCTCTATCTCCAAATAAAGTCACATTGGAATTAGTACTTCAACATAGGAAGTTGAGGGCGGTGCAATTTAGTCCATAGAAGATGGTATTAAAAAATGCCCTTATGTTGTATATAAATGACTTTAGTTTTTTTTACATTACATATCCTGGCAGATATCTCATGAAGCAATATACGAAAGATAATGTCTAACACATAGCATATAAGTTAAGAAGATCCAGGGCTATTTTCCCTTCTGCAGAACAAAGCACTTGTAGAGTAAAAATGTTTAGTCCATTGCTGTTATAGGGCATTTCATGAACTGCTGATTGTACATATATATGGTATCATTTTAACATAAACAGTCTAGCTCTTAGGGAGTTTTAAGTTATAAAAGAAACATTTTTCTAAGATCATGTGGTGTGATATAAAAACCACACTCCAGTCCAGTTCTATCATTATAAATTTCTGGTAAGCCAAGAGACATTAGCTGGTGATTTTATCAAGCAAGACTTTTAACTATAATGGCTCGATGAAAACATCATTGTGCCATAAAACACTGTAACAAATTGAAGTGACAATTCTTTGAAAGAGTTTAGTTATTTAAGAGTTTAGGTCATTGTATTTTATTTATGGAAAGCAGTAATGCAGGGATCACAACAACAATCCTACAAATAAAAATGTGCTCTCACTTTTGTGTGTGTGAGCCTGTACTGCATCCATTACATCTTTTGGCAATTCAAATCTAATTTTTATAACTATCTTCAACAAGGAAGTTGAAATGTAGTTTTCATCACATTCTAGGAAAGCTCTCATAAAATACTTTCCCTGTCATTTTAGTCATATTCTACACAGTAATTTTACCCTGCTTTTCCACACGAAGTGTAAGTAAACAATAAAATTATGTTTAAGTGAAATATTTACATAACAGCAAAATTTATCTTTTATTTGTAGCCATAGAAGTAGATGATCAGCACTTATCAAATTTGAAAAAGCCCATACCAAATAAACATAAATTCTATAAGAAACAGATGATGAGACATACATTTGCATATACATGGATCCATATTAAAGCAATAGAACAGGGGACACTTTGAAACCTTCTGACAATATTTTCATGAACTCAATAATATAAACCATGTGATGAAAGATTTTCTGAAAAACTTTGTTGGTTTCACTGTGTATTTTATGACTGGGGAAATGTGACGTTAAATTTTATCCCCTGTGTCTTTCAGTCAAATGCTTGCTCTGTTCAGAATGGCAACACTCAATTAAACAGCATTTTTCATGATCTACACCCACTACTGTTACTGTATTTAAGGCAAATAATGGGGGCACTGACCTATATTGCGCTTCTTATTATCGATGGAGACGAAGCGTATGCAGGGATTACTGGTGATGTACTGCCCAGCCCAAGAGACATCAATCTTCGTGCCAGCTTCATAAAAGAGTCCTAGAGCATAGCGAGAGGAGTAGCTCACAGACTTCAGTTGCTGTCTTTGGCATTCACTAATTACTGTAGGAGAAAAAAAAGGGGGCATCAAACTTGAAAATACCATTTTTCCTTTCAATACATCATCTACAAAGCTCCCGTGAGCTAGTTCCAACGGCTCCCACCAACTCCATCTTCCTTACAGTGAATTTTAAAAGGCAATACAAAACAGTCTCAGCTTTAGTATCTTTTCAGAATGATTACTAGTGTTGGAACTATTTATTTAAATAAGTAGAAAGTCCAAACTATAGTTTGATATTCTGGGTACTCAAACTTTGGTTCGAAATTACTTTTCTAGCTTTGAATCTTAGTTATTATCTTTAGATTGTCTGGCAATATTATAGAATTTATGTACTGACTATTACTGTGTGGCAAGGTCTTTGCTGAATAATTGACACAACATTTCAGTCTATGAATACCACGCTGCAAGTGAGGAGGCCCATGATTCACCTGTTCCCTTAAATGTCTATGTCACTTTTGTTTGTGACCTTTGACCTAAGCAGCTCCTTATGAAGAGGCACCACAACTGTGATAGGCCACTTCCCTGCTCCTTAAAGGCACAAGCAGGATAAGACTACAAAGGCATACAGAGGTGAACAGAGATAGGCCAAATAAGTTGAAATGCAAGATTACTTATCAATCAATAAATGGAAAAGGTATAGAAATGGAATTGGGCAAGCTTAGTTGAATCCTGACTCCATCACTTACTAGAAATATAACACTTGTTAAGCTACTAATTCTAATTAGACTGTACTTCTTTCATCTATAAATGACAATAATATTACAGAATGATTAGTCTATAATGAAAATAAAATGAAATAATGCTTGGCACATAACTGATGTTTATTAAATGGTAAATTTTTCTATCATAGATAGAAAACTAGGAAAACAGGCTAGTGCTCTATATGATGGTGTGCAGGAGGAAGAGATTTTTCCCACTCTTTAATTTTTACCTCCAACACCCCCATCTTAAGGTCTCAGGGAGCTATTTGTTCATATATGTACGGGCTTAATAATCTGTGTTTCAGAGAAAGTCCTTGTTGTATTCTGAAGGTTTAGACAAGTTAGTTCAGATTGGCGCATATAGAAAATTCTCATTTAATAAGTGAAAACTATTGTGATCTAAAACTGTAAGAATAAGCAAACCTCAAAGTGAGTGACAGAGGAGAGAAGAAAGGAGAGAGAGAGGAACAGAAGACTTGGATTATACTACTGAATTAATTAAGTAATTTCATTGTCTTTGTTTTCTATTGTGATTTCACTCTTTTAGTTTCCTAATCAATGAAAGAAGAACAATACATATTCTATTTCCCGTGTTTTTTTGCTTATATTTTTCTTGTGTTATGAAAAATGTTGAAGGAGCCAGCATTAGGTACCAAATACCTATGTTGGTAAGCAACATAATTTCTTACCTGTCACGTATTTTAAAGGATGGCAGCACATTTATCTAACTTTGGAAGAGTGGTTTCCAGAGTACAGAGAAGCAAGAATGGAATTCAGTGAATTATTTAAGCATAGCAATAATCCTGTATACTATTGTAATTACAAATACTTTTTAGAACCTTGGTTACCATTTAAGTTTTAGCACTATGGCCTCTTAATTTTCACCAAAGTCCTGCCAAAACAGATGTTTTTACCATTTTCATTGTACATATTTAGGAAGGTGAGATTTGGAGAGGTTAAGTAATTTGCACTGGGTTAGAGGCATCTGCACTGAGCACTCAGGATGAAGCCTGAATTTTCATGTTTGAGCTACCAACTTATCCTCATTACCTTCAACTTTCTCCTTTCAAACTCAGTTTCACAATGAACCTGGACACTGCTTTCCCCTCTGACATTAATGCTTACTTTGTACTCAGAAGTAAAAGCCATTGTTTTCTTCAACCATCATTTTCTGCCTTATTAAGAATTTTAGTTACTTGAGCAGATACTCTTCTGACACTGGCCTCATTATGCTCAATGAAATCTGATCTTTACTTTTTTATTATTTAGTCTGTTTTTTAAGTCATGAACTGATATCATACGAACTGCTTCCAAGAAAGAAGATGTGAATGAAATGCCAACAATCAAGTTCATATTACTACATTTCCCGTTTTTAAATTAAACATAACCAAACAAAAATTTAGCAATAAAAAGAAAACAACTGAACTAAACTAAACAACTGAACTAAACTGCAATAAGCTATTTAGTAATTGAAAAGGCCTAACATTATTTTAAACCAAAACTGAAGCGTGAACTAAGTTGAAAACCAAATTAGACCTTATTCCCACACCCATGTTTTCACATTTAGTTAGTTTTCAATAAACTGTTAAGTACCAAGTCTCACTGGGTAGCCCTTTGAAAGGTAATTGATATCTATATAGAAAGACTAATTAGCCTTAAACACCCTTGTCTTCCTGGGAAAAGAGGAGCTAAATTCATTCTGTGAACAAGGAGGCAAGACTTTTGGCTGAAATAATTTCAATTTCTTGACACATTCACTTATAAATAAGTTAAGATTAGGGTCTGAAAAATTTTTAAATTTTATTTAAAGAAAGATTAAACAAAACAGAAAATAGGTAGAAATAATACATACATTCAGAGAAAAAAATAAGCAGTAAGAAATCACTAGTTGATGTTTACATATTGTCATTTTACAAATAGTTGTTCAAGGTACAAGAATGGAACATGTAAAGTGGGAATTCAAACAGAGACTGCAAACAGTTCTGTTCAACTGTCCAACAAAAACTTAATAACATGGTGGTCAATCCTATATACTTAAATATAAATGTAGTTATCCATATCTTCACTTATGTTTAGATTAAACAAGCTAAAGCAGGTTAAAATCATTCTGAACAAATAATAATAGTATTGCTGGATTTCACATCATGACACTCAGTGATCAGCATTGGGTATTATAGTGTCTTTTTTAAAAATTTAATTTAAAGAAAGATTAAACAAAACAGGAAACCAATATAATACATAATTTCAAAGAAAAAATAAATAGTAAGAAATCACTAGTTAATGATTACAGATTGTCTTCTTACAAATAGTTATTCAAGATACTAAAGTGGAGCATAAAAAGTGGGGATTCAAACAGTGAAATTGCAACCAGTTCTGTTCAACTATCCAACAAAAACTTAGAAATATGGTTACCAATCCTATACACTTAAACATACATGCAGTTATCCATATCTTCAATTATATTGAGATTGAATAAACCCAAGCAGGCTAATATCACTCTGAACAAAGAATAATATTATTGCTAGGTTTCATATTATGACACTCCAGGATCAGCACTGGGTATTTTAGTGTCTCTTTCTCTTCAAAGTATCTGTTCATTTAATCATGTGTTATAAGATCAGTTCTCATAAACTGTTTATAGATTCTACACGTGCATGAATCTTAACATGTATTTCTATCCTTTCTATATTAGAGGGAGAAACAAAACAAAGTAAGGCAAAACAAAGCATATTCCTATAAACACATGAAATGAAATAAACATATAAGACCATTGTACAAGGAGTTCTACCATGGTTCCTGTGTTGTCTCTTGTTATGTTCAATAGAATTGGCTATATCATCAGACATAGTATGATTGAATATATCAGTACATAACAGTATTAATAAAAACACAACTTTGTATATGTATAGAACTTTCAAAACTAGCAGTTATCAAACCAGAATGTGTACTGTAGAGTCTTGTCATACTGTAGTTGCCTATACTCTCAGACTTGATATTATCAGCCGTATCAGTTTTGAATAAAATCTTCTTTGCTTCATTTCTGTTATGCTCTTTTTTTTGCCATCAATTATCGGCTTATCTTCTTCATTCTGTTTTCTGCTCCATTTATTGAGGCCTCCCTGCCACTGTTCCTGGAATCCTAGTACTTTTCTGTCTCTCTAGAATGCCCTGCAGTATTCTCTATAGAGTTAGATTGGTGGTTGCAAATTTTCCAAGTTCCTCTTTGTCTTAGAAGCATCTTGTTTCTCCATTAATTTCTAGAGACAGTTTATCAGGGTATATCAATCTGGGATGGAGGTTATTTCTTTCAGGGCTTGGAATATTTCGCTGTAGGCTCTTTTTGACTTGATGGTTTGTGTCAAGAAGTCTGCTGTTATTCTGATGGGCCTTCCTCTGTAGGTTATCTGTTTCTTGTCTCTAACAGCTTTTAATGTTCTGTTCTTATATTGAATTTCTGGGACCTTGATTATTATATGCCTGGGTGTAGCTCTGTTTTGGTTGTAGGTGGCTGAAGTTCTGTATGCCTCATATATCAGAATATCATTTCCTTTTCCTATGTTTAGGAAGTTTTCCTTAATTATTTCTGTGAATAACCTTTGTAGTTCCTTTGTTTGTACCCCAGCTTCTTCATTCACATTCTTTATTCTCAAGTTATAGATCCTTTTGTTGTCTTTTAGCCTTTGTATTGTTACTGCTTGCTTCCTTATTTTTAAAAAGTTTTCCTTTTCAGATTTCCACATTGCAAATTGTCCTCCAGTTTGGATAATCTATCCTTAGCTTCTTTCAAGCTGATTTGCTATCTTTCCATAGAGTTTTTACTTTCCTGGTGATCTCTTTGAATCTGTTTCATGTATTCTATATTTTTTTACATTCTTCATCAAATGATTCTCTCCTTTGTTTGAGTTCCTCCCTTCTTCCATCTGTGTCTGCTTGAGGGTACTTAGTATCTCTTTTATTAATTTTTTTTTTTTTTTGGTCTTTTTCGTTTTTATCGGTACCAGGGATCGAACTCACAACTGCCTGCTTACAAGGCAGGCGCTTATGCCGCTGAGCTAAATCCCCAGCCCCTATTAATCTTCTTATATCTTGCTTTATTTGGCTAAATATTTCACTTTTGAACTCATCTATGAGATCCCAAATATATCTCTTTATGTCCACTGGCGCTGTGTCTGATATTGCATGTTTGCTGTCCTCATTCTCCTTTGTATTTACCTGTCCTGGGTCAATGTTCTCAGGGTTGGGACCTAGGGACTTTTTGTTATTGCTTCCTCTTCCCATCTTTTTTGTTTCTTCCAGGAGGC